TTTCTGAAAGACCCCGTCTTCGCTGTAACAGGATTAGCAGCCAAATCTGGTTGTGAGGATAGACACGAAGGAGGGGTACTGGACAATAATATCAGTGTACGCACCTCAAGCCGGCTGCCCCGTCTACGAAAAGGAGGAGTTCTATCTGAGCCTTGACGACGAGACGACGATCCGATCAATTCGGGAAGGGTACTACCTCACCATAGGAGGTGATCTGAATGGACACGTCGGCAGTGAAAGGAGGGGACTGAAAAGCATACATGGAGGTAGAGGAGTAGGAGTCAGAAACGAAGAGAGAGAGAGAAGGTCCTTGCCCTGATCATAGCTCACGACTTGGCAGTCTGCAGCACCTTCTTGGCGAAGAGGAAGTCTCAGAAGGTAACCTACAGTAGTGGAGGGAAAGAAACGGAAATCGATCATGAGCTAGTAAGAAGATCGTCCCTCAAAACTGTAAAGGACATCAAGGTACTGCCTGGAGAAGATCTGGCTCCATAGCACATGCCTCTTCCTAAAAAATCAAGGACAAGAACGGAACGAAGGATTCAGTGGTGGAAGTCGCACCAATCCGAAAGAGAACAGAACCCCAAAAAGAAGGTACTGGAAGCTGGACTTCCAAATCCCGAAGGGTCGCTCCAGCAGACTTGGAGCAACGCTGTGAAGGTTATCCTGCGATGTGCAAAGGAAACGCTGGGGGAGACTCGAGTTGGTCCCCGTGGGGACAGGGAAGCATGGTTCTGAAACGAAGAAGTCCAACAAGTTGTGAGGCAGAAGAAATCGGCCTACAAGCGCTGGCAAAAGACACGAGCTCCAGAGGACTAGCAGCCTACCGAGCTCCCAAGAGGCTCGCCAAAGCTGTTGTCGCGAAGGCGAAGAACACGGAATTGGACGCTCTGTATGAGAAACTCGACAGTCGAAAAGGAGAGAAGTTCGCCTTTCGCTTGGCGAAAGCGCGTCACTGTGCCACTCAGGACATCGGAGTAGTGAAGTCCGTCAGGAACAGTGAGGGTGCAATCCTGAGGAGGCCTAGCTAGAAGAGGCGCAGGTGGAAGGAATACTTCGACGGGCTCTTAAACCAAGAATTTGCCGGAAAGAACAGCTCCCAATTAGAGGCAACGGCTGGCCCCATCAATTTCTGGACAGAGAATTAGGTGCGTGGAGCAATGGGAAAGATGAGGCTCGGGAAGGCAACTGGTCCGGATGGAGTACCGATCAAGGCATGGAAAGCGCTCGGAGAGCACGGGTAAAGTGGCTCACCCGATTCCTGAACACTGTGACCGCTAAAGGAAGAATCCCAGATGCGTGGAGGAGGAGTACTATCGTTCCCATCTTCAAGCAGAATGGGGGCGCGATGGAGTGTTCCAACTACCGGGGGATCAGGTTAACTGCTCACACGATGAAACTGTACAAGCGGCTGGTCGACTCAAGTTTGGGAGAATTGGTCCCAATCTCGCAGGAGCAGCTCGGCTTCATGCCTGAAAGGTCTACAACGGATGCCATCCTCATAGCTAGGCAAGTTATGGAGAAGTATCGAGAAAAGCGTAGACCTGCTTCCTAGCCTCCCTCGATCTGGAGAAGGCTTTCGACCGTCTCCCGCGACAAGTCCCCTGGAGAGCGCTCTGAAAACGAAACGTTCCAGAACACCTGATCTCTCTGGTGAAGGACATGTACGTTGGCTCCACGACAACAATACGCTCCCCACAGGCGAAACCGGAGCAGTAGATGTCACGTTGGGTACACTAGGGACCAGCTCTAAGCCCGTTCCTCTTC